GGGGAGGGGATACACATCTTTGATCGTGAGTTCATTCAGTTTGCGATAATCAATGCAAATGCGAATTGCTCCGTTTTTCTTCGGTACTAATACTACGGGAAAAGACCAAGGTCCGGTAGCGGGTTCAATCCAACCGTTGGCTTCGAATTCCCGAATTCGTTCGAGAGTCTTTTTGCGTTCAATCAAGGAATATCGATAAGGTTTGCAATGAATCGGGGAGGGATTTCCTGTCTGAATTTCATGTTGGATTACTAACGACAACCCAATGTAAGTGTCTGACACACTAATCGCTCTTTGATATTCCGTTAAAATATCCGCAATTACCCGGTGGATTTCATCTGGTACATACTCTGGAACGTGCAGTTCGAAAGGTTGGTCCCAGATCTGAACGTCGATCTGTTTCGTATTTGCCTGTTTTGTCAAGTCGGGTGGAGGCGCCAAGATGAATATATGGTCCGATCGCCAGGGGAACACCGTGGCCATCATTTGAGCATCTTCTTCCCGGATGGCCACGTGTCCTTCCGGGGTAATCCCGTCACAAACATCCTGCCATGGCACTTCTTTAGTTGCAATCTTTATCCTTAGTCCGCCTGTTTCTGCTTCGAAACGCCCAGGGGGTTCCAGAGAGCTTGCCTCCGCCCCCAAGCGTAACAATCTCACTTCTTTAGTTGATGTTAGTAAGGATTTGGGTAGATCCGTAATATCACAGTAATGCTTCTTGTCACTATACCTGGCGAGGAGAGGGGTGATCCCTTCGTACAGAGTCTGAGAGGGTTCCAAAGAGTCTACCATCCTCGAAATCTGCACGAGGGGCTCTCCCAAGATCATCGCCTTGGTTCTTTGAATTTTTCGGCTGGTTAGTTGCATCGTTCTTGCTATCGTTTTGGGCGGAGGGTAACAAACACGCTGTCGTGCTAATTTCAAGATCTCTGGATCATCTTCGTCACTACTTTCCGTCTCATCAGTTGATGACTTCTCCCCGACAGGTTCATCCCAGGAGATCATGCGGAGAGTCCCTGTCATCATCGGCGACCCGTGGAACCGCGTTAAGGGTATTGCGAAGAGTCAATCGCATGGGCACAACGTAGGGTTTTCCTCCTGTATTTTGGAGGACGATCGATCGTCGTTCGAAATCCAGGTTTGCTCGTAACGCCACGAGAGCGGGAAGCCCAAAAAGAACGTCGTACGTATTATAACATCCCCAAGCGCGTGCACTTTACCCAAGCGGAGAGCGACATTGGTCATTCTTCCTACAGTTTTAATCCTTTCTTCGTCAGCCGAAACGAGCTGATCTTTCTCAGAAAGCATGATCAGGTCGTTTTTCCTGCCAGCCCTTTCGACCACTCTTAGTGAGATAGCCAACTAAGCTGCTCCTGAATCTATTCTCGCGTTGTAAGGAATTCCCCAAATTTCAATATCACATTCCGCGGACTTCCACGGAATCGGTTTAATCCGTAAGAAGTGATCGTCTTTCTGAATTAATCCCACCCGTATTGGGTCCGGAGTGCTCGTTGGGTTTTCTTCCGGCGGGGGGCCTTTTGCTTTGGCACTTGGTGTTCGGGCGAGGGCAAATCGTTTTCGGTTTGCTTTGCAATGCTGTAGCATTCACTCGTTGTCTTGCTCGGAGATCGAGAGTAGATGACAGATTGGTAGTGGAATCCGATGGTCCAAATCTCGGATGATGTTTAATACATCGATCTCTCCTGTGACGAGGGTGGGTCCTCCCGACTCCATTTCTCCTAAGGACGGTCGCCACTCCGCCACCTCTCTCAGTTCTGGCGCTGGTTTGATTGTTTCGATCATTCCTAGCCCAGGATATCCCAGCGTCACATATTGATCTAGCGGAATTAGCTCAGCGGCCTCTTCCGCGGTGGCCAGGGCACTTCCCCCACCCTCTACTTCTTCCATCAAGGCTCCGACTCGTCCAGGTCCATTGGCGATGGGGGCCGCAGCCATAGGTGCGACTCCCATCCGTTGTTGTGGGGGTCGGTGGGGGCAATCACGGGCTAGGTGTCGTGTTGCATCGGAGGGGCACGCACCGCAATAGGTCGCATGCTCCTCATCATGGCTTCCAGCCGAGCATTGTGCTCTCGCTGTTCTTTCTTGCTTTCTTGGATTAAACTAATCAGCGTTTTGGTTAGTTCGAAAATGGCCGCTGATTCATTCGATCTTACGGGAGCCTCAACCGGTGGCGGGGGTAATGCCCTAACAGGCGGGGGTATCATAGGAGCAGAGATGCTCGGAGTCTCGCTTAGGATTACTCGCTTGGGGCCTATCTGTTCCATATAAGTGACAGGTCCTGATACAAATCCCATGTTTTCAAATTTGTTCTGCAAAGCAGCCAGTTCTGCTCTTGCTCATACGAGCTCGGTCAAATCTCCGTCTCTAGGGTAGTCTTCTCCTTCCAGGAAGTTCGTGGCGAACTTCCGTTCCATTTCTTCCGCGGCAACCATAATTTGCTGTAGCGTATGAGTGATGGGGGAAAACTGCTTTCGCAACTTAGTCCTTATTGTTCGACTGCGGAGTCCCTCAATCAACAGATCTCTCCCTACTTGCTCACCTCGCTTAGTTTTTACGAACATCCTGGAAGTGCGAAAAGGGGTGTGCCAAGGATTTTTGGGAAAGTGGGGGAGTCTTAAGGGTATGAATGTAATTAGGCGAATGAGAGGTGCGCGCGCAAGGGTCTCATGGTCCAAAGGGGCCGGGACACGGTGGTCGACGGGTTACGGGGAAATCCCTCCGCGGTGGAGGTGGTCCCGAAAAGTTAGGCCGTCGGGGGCCG